CTCACCGCAACCTCCGCCTCCTGGGTTCAGGCAATTCTCCTGCCTCAGCCTCCTGAGTAGCTGGGATTACAGGCACGCACCACCATGCCCAGCTAATTTTTTGTATTTTTAGTAGAGACGGGGTTTCACCGTGCTGACCAGGATGGTCTCGATCTCTTGACCTCGTGATCCACCCACCTTGGCCTCCCAAAGTGCTGGGATTACAGGCTTGAGCCACTGCGCCTGGCAGACAATCTTCTTTTAAAAGAAAACTTTCCCTGTTTATATGTGAAATACATTCGCCCATCTCTCAACCTTGATTCTCCTATTTCCACCTCTCCTGCAGCCTTTTTACTAAAAGTCAGTACAAGTCCTCTGGGGACAAACATCGTGAGAGGGAGATGGTAGATGAAGAAGGAGAAGCTCACACCGCCCTGAGCCACTGTTGCTGACAGAGGCCTCTGCCTCGGGTTGTTTCATGTGGGGACATGTGTGAATGCATCTGGGACGTGAGTGATAAAGCAAGGCCGGTTGTCCCAGGAAACAAAACCCCTGACCGGTTGCGGTGGCTCATGCCTGTAATCCCAGCACTTTGGGAGGCTGAGCGGGTGAGATCAGTCTCCCAAAGTGAGATCAGACACGAGGTTGAGATCGAGACTATCCTGGTCAACATGATGAAGCCCCATCTCTACTAAAAATACAAAAACTGGCCGGGTGTGCTGGTGCGCGCTTTTAGTCCCAGGCACTCGGGAGGCCCAAGCAGGAGAATCGCTTGAAGCTGGGAGGCAGAGGTTGCAGTGAGCTGAGATCACACCACTGCACTCCAGCTTGGTGACAGAGTGAGATTCCGTCTCAAAAAAAAAAAAAAAAAAAAAAAACAAACCCCGCGGCGTCTTACAGGCAGCCCTCCCTTGTGGCCAGCTGTGGGCTCTGGCTCTGTGGCTAAACTTGCCAGCCTTTCTGAGATTTTACCAGTTAACTTTTCTGCTTAACGATACAGTTCCCCTAGAAGGGGCCCAGATTTTGATGCCAGCATGAATTAGCCTCCTCTTCTCCTTCTCCTCCTCCTCCTTCTCTTCTTTTTTCTGGGGTCTGTTGAGTCACTTTCAAATATTTGTTTCTAGGTTTTCTTATATTTCCTCCTCTTCCCCATTTTTTTTTAAATGCTACATTTTAAAGCAACCTGTTGTTTAAAGAGAATGATAAAAACAAACGAAACAAAGTTTCTTTTTCCCATCCCATGAGAGCTTGACTTGAATTCGTCTTTGGTGACAGTTTAGGCCCCAGGGGCCTCCCTTCCTCTCCATACACTGCCTTCAGGCCTCCCCTGACCCCACAGGTAGCACTTCTAAGAGCTTGAGGATCAGGTATGCAGAACGCACTGGATAAGGAGCCAGAGACTTGACTCGGCTTTGCCTGTCATGGCCTGTTTGACCTTGATGATTCACTTAATTCCTGGACTCCCCAGGCCCCTCAGCTAGAAAACGGAGGGCCTAGCTGAAATGGTCCTCAGAGTTCTTCTGCCAGCACTAAAATTCTCTGCTCCTGGGGCCTCTGGTTCAAGCCTGGTGAGTAAAGGCAAATCCAGCATGTTCTAGAGGAGGCTGAGAGGTTTCATTCTTTCTGACTGTTCTGTTCAACTACTCTCTTCTCTTCCTGCTGTTGCAACACATGGCGCTCTTATTCATTTAATAATTTAAAAAATGCCCATTTCAATTTAAAACCTCAGTGTCTTATCCTCTTGCCTCCCCATCTTTGAATCTTACAACCTGCTTCTTATTGGCCAAATGGCTCACGCCTATAATCCCAGCATTTAGGGAGGCTGAGGTGGGTGGATCACGAGGTCAGGAGCTCAAGACCAGCCTGGCCAAGATGGTGAAACCTTGTCTCTACTAAAAATATAAAAATAAGCCAGGTGTGGTGGCGGGTGCCTGTAATCCCAGCTACTCGGGAGGCTGAGGCAGAGAATTGCTTGAACCAGGGAGGCAGAGGTTGCAGTGAGCCGAGATTGTGCCACTGCATTCCAGCCTGGGCGATAGAGTAAGACTCCCTCAAAAAACAAAACAACACAAACAAACAAACAAAAAAACCCAACCTGCTTCTTATTGACAGAATAATTTCAATTTATCAACTTATTTAATTGTTCGTTTTTATCATTTTTGCTTCACATTTCACTGTTTCAAAAAGATTTTTAAAAATTAATATTTTTATTTGAAATAATTTTAGACTTTGAGAAAAGTTGCAAAATAATAGAGTTCCATATATCCTTAACTTAGAATTTCCAAATGGTAACATTTTCCCTCATTCCTCATTTGCCTTACTATTCTATTATATATATGATATGTAACAAGTGTGTGGCTGGGCACAGTGGCTTACGCCTGTTATACCAGCACTTTGGGAGGCTGAGGCAGGCAGATCATCTGAGGTCAGGAGTTTGAAACTAGTTTGGCCAATATGGTGAAACCACATCTCTACTAAAAATACAAAAATTAGCCAGGTGTGGTGACACACACCTGTAGTCCCAGCTGCTTGGGAGTCTGAGGCAGGAGAATCACTTGACCCGGGGAAGTCGAGATTGCAGTGAGCTGAGATCACGCCACTGCATTCCAACCTGGTGACAGAGTGAGACTCTGTCGCAAAAAAAGAAAAAAAAAAAAGACAAACCTCCACCTCCAACAAAAATAAATATGTATTTATACATATCAGACTAAGATATAATGCCCCTTTGCCCCTAAATGATTCAATGTGTATTTTCTTTTTTTAAAAAATGATTTTTCTCTTGTGTAACCATAATACAATCTTCAAAGTATAAAATTAACATTGATGCAATACTATTACTAAGCCATACATAATATATAAATTTCAGAATTATCTCGCTAATGTCCTTGTAATAAAATAAAAATAATAAATTCTTTTTCTGATCTAAGATTCAATCAGGGATCATACATTGCATTTAATTGCAATTTCTTTTTAGACTCCTTTCCTTTAGAACAATTCTTAAGTCTTTTTTTTTTTTTTTTAATTAACCTGAGCAAAAAAAGTCAAGGAGGGCAAAAGAAGGTAATCCTAATCATTCAAATCAGGAATGTCTAAGTTCTTACTTATACCTAACTTGTAACTTTCACTTATACTGAAATTTCCAAAGTATCTTTCCAAATTGCACTTTAAAAGGCTTATTTGAGCTGGGTTATGGTGGATCACACCTGTAATCCTACCACTTTGGGAGGCCAAGGCAGGCGTATCATCTGAGACCAGAGTTCCGTCTCTACTAAAAATACAAAAATTAGCGAGGCGTGGTAGTGCACACCTGTAGTCCCAGACCCTGGAGGCTGAGGCAGGAGAATTGCTTCAACCCTGGAGGTGGGCGTTGATTGAGGCATGAGAATCGCTTGAACCTGGGAAGCAGAGGTTACAGTGGACTGAGATTGTGCCACTGCACTCCAGCCTGGGCAACAAGAGTGAAAACCTGTCTCAAAAAAAAAAAAAACTCAAGCCTTTTTTTTTTTTTTATCAAAAATCTGTCATTGTCTGGGGAGAAAAAAAGAGACAAGGAAGGAAGGAAGGTAATAAAAAAAATGTAGGATTCTATAACAATTGCATACACTGCATTGTTGAGTGCACTTCCGACAGAAGAGAACTTCTATTTAATTAGGTGTCGTGAGAACCAAATCCACTGCTCCCAACTTTTCATGTTTGTATCAGTTATTATCTATCACTGTGTAACGACGACTCCCAAATTTAGTGGCTTTAAACAACAACAATTTTATTTTGTTATGATTCTGTGGATCAGCAAGTTGGGCAGGGCTCTGCTTGGTGGTTCTGCTGGTCTCATCTTCAATTACTCATGAAGCCGCAGCCATCTGGTGGCTGAACCCTGGCTGAATGGGCTTACATGGCCTCATTTACATATCTGGTGGTTGATGTGGGCAGTCAGCTGGCATCCGTTTCCTCTGGCCTCTAATCCTCAGGGAAGCTAGCCTGGGCTTCTTCACATGGCAGAAACAGGGTGGATGTAAAAGCTATCTGTTCATGGCCAGGCACGGTGGTGCATACCTATTATCCCATCATTTTGGGAGGCTGAGGCGGGAGGATAACTTGGGGCCAGCCAACATAGCAAGATTCCATCTATACAAATAAAAAATAAAAAATCACCCAAGCATGGTGGCACACATTTTAGTCCCAGCTACTTGGGAGGCTGATGCAGGAGGATAGCTTCAGCCCTGGAGTTCGTGATTACAGTGAACTCTGATGGCGCCACTGCTGGGTGACAGAGCAAGACCTTAGTTCCTTAAGGAACACACAAAAAAAGCTACCTGGCCTCTTACATCCTAGGCAAATTACTCAGCTGGAGAAAATGGAATCTATCACTTCTGCAAGGTTCTATTGGTCAAACCAATCCCCAGTTGTAGCCTAGATTTGAGGTGTGGTGAAATAAAGGGGGCTCTTGATGGAAGATACCACAAAGACTTTGCAAACAAATAACAGTGTAGTGTGGGAGTAGTTTTTGCAGCCAACTTTGCAAACAATGCACCATGACATCTGCCAAGCGGAAAAATCTTCTGCAAGTTAATGTCTGGTGCCAGGAGCCCTAGAACTAGAACTCATTTCTATCTCAGCATGTCCTCTGGTTTTGAACCTTCATGTTACGACGCCAATTGAGATGCACGGTGGGTGGCAATAATTGCCCTGGAATCTATTCTAACACCAGAATGGCCAAGAATAACTTCATTATCCGTGGAAGTGACTGCAAATCACGTAAATACACCCCACCTAACCCAAAAAAGATGCATTTTTTTTTTTTTTTTTAGATGGAGTCTTGCTGTGTCACCCAGGCTGGAGTGCAGTGGCGTAATCTTGGTTCATTGCAACTTCCTCCTCTTGAGTTCAAGCGATTCCCCTCCCTCAGCCTCCTGAGTAGCTGGGATTACAGGCACACACCACCAGGCCCAGCTAATTTTTTGTATTTTTTTAGTAGCGACGGGGTTTCACCATGTTGGTCAGGCTGATCTCAAACTCCTGGCCTTGTGATCCGCCTGCCTTGGCGTCCCAAAGTGCTGGGATTACAGGCATGAGCCACTGTGCCCTGCCAAGAAGATGCATTTCTTATCCAAGTTCTTTCGGCTAGACCCCAAAAATGTTTGGCCACTCTCTTGCCACCTAAACTGAGGGGAAGTGTGACAGAGAGAATTCCAAGTGGATTGCAGCTAAAATGCCTAACTTTTACAGTTTATTTTCAATATGAACACATGACTGTGGCCTCACCTAGTGCCTTGGGAGTGTCCCGGGCATGTGAGGGGTGCTGAAGTTTAAGCTGTGTTAACTTCGCAGTGAATCCACCTTTGCCTGGAATGAAATTCATCATACTTTCTGAGGGTGAGAATGACATTTGGGTTCTTCTATGTCCATGTACAAAGAAACCAGAAGCCTCTGAAAGAAAACTTACCTCTGTCTGGGTATTTCAGATGCTTTCAAACAGAGAGAAAAGGTTTTGTGGGGCATAAGTTACCTTTCTAAATTTCCTCGTGTGGGGCATATTTACTTCTTGAAAGGCAAATATATTTACAGGGATGTGAACAGAACCAAAGCTGACATAAACTGCTCCAATTGACTGAACTCAGGACAAATTAAATCCAAATATACAAATTTCTGTAGAGCCAGGAACTGTGGCAAAGGTTGATTTTCTTGCCCTTTCAAAAAAGTTTGTTTTGCTTTCTTTCCCATAATGTGTTCATTAACTGTGTTTTTCAATTTTAAAAAGCTCTGTAGACATAGCATACATGATTTTCGGTCAAAA